TTTCAGATCATCGACATTTGAGATGAAGGATGTGTATGGCATGTTCACAATGGACACAATTGCTAGTATTGCATTTGGTGTTAACAGTGACTCTCTCAACAATACTCAGGTGAGCAAAATGAGCTTTCAGCCATCAGGAATAAGAATTTTAATGGCAAAGGTAGGAAAAGAAAGGGAATCAATATTACCTTGCACTCCTCCACCTCAAAGATCAATTCAGTGTCCTACAATGAAAATGCATCTTGCACTGCAGCTGGTAGATTGTCAGTATTCCCCATAGTAAACCTGAGCTTCTTGGTCAAGATTATCCCATTTCCTATTGACCCATTCACTGTGGATGCTTAGAAAGCTATCTAGCCAGAGGGATGGGCTTGTTATTGCAAATAGGCTGTTTGTGCAAACTGGACTGGGTACCTTGGTGTTTTTAATACACTGTATTGGTTGTTTGCCTATCCACATAACTCATTACCAAAAGTAAGAAAAAAAATTGTTTTGGTCAACATCGGCCAGTTGACCAAAAAGAAATATGGTGACATTAAACTTTCAGTGAAAAACACTCCATACATAGTACTGCTAAACTTAACCCTTCAATGATGGTGTCAGAAATCTCTCAGCATCACTGACTCTGGTGACTTTTGGCAAACATCCTGCGTAACTTTCTGTTCAACTCACTTTAGTGTGTCTTGACATCTGATGAGTCGGTTCGTTATGATGGCTATAGGCATGGCCTGGCAAATATGGGTTAATCATCATATCCCTACTTACCATCCCCAGTGTGTGGGTTAATTGTTGCGTGCAGTTTCCAAAAAAAGTTACAAGCCTTTAATTGGGTGAAGCAATAGGGGATAGAATTATGCTGGACTTGCTGCTGTATTTCTGACAGAACTCTGTATACTCTTCAACCTATTTCTCTGTATTGTATTGTCAAGGTTTTATTATTCATAAATATTCATAACAAGGATATGAAACTAGCACTTCAGAGGCTTTTTTCATAATTTCCATAGCTAATATGCTGTTCTTCTTAGACAGAGATTCAGGCCTGAAGTTATTTCTGAGCTTTTTACCATTTATATTTGCTAGTATGTTCACTATAATGGATACCCATGGATTGGATGCTACAAATTCAGTTGCAGATACTTTTGTCTTCTCTAGAAGGCTATTCAAATGTATATAGAGAATCTATGTATGGAAGATGGCATTAACTGTGGAAGATAAGTTTTTTCATTTTAAAGAATGTGTAGACTCATGATTCTTTATTGATTGTTATTGTGCATACTCACTCTGTTTCTCATTTAGGTATTTTTTGATGTATTGATTATCATCATTTGCAAGCTTATTCTACAAATATATGTTAAACTAAATGTGTTAATTTGTTTTATAGAATAATGAACACATCTGAAAGTGTTTATTAATCAGAAAATATGAAAATCAGAAGAAATCTGTTTGAAAATATGAATGTTTGGAACTGTTTGTTGGTCTCATCCAGGTATTTTTTGATATATTGATTATCATATTTTGCCAGCTTATTCCACAAATTTATGTTAAACAGAATGTGTTAATTTGTTTTATAATGAACACATCTTGAAATGTTTATCATTCAGAAAATATGAAAATTTGAAGAAAGCTGTTTGAAAATATGACCGTGTGTTCAGGAACTGTTTGTTGGTTTCTTTAGTTTGGTGCCATTTCAGATGCTATCGTTTCAAACTAGATGTTGTAGCTTTCTTTGCTAACTGTGCATTGCTAGAACTTTTAAGTGTTTGTCAGCTTTCCTACCCTTCATTCACCCATATCTCCCACTCATGATTGTTCAGTTTTAGCATTATTTGTGCTCCAGATGATACATAAGTATGTAATTCTTCTCTCCATGATTCTTCCTTTTTGTTATTATATTTTTTTTATTTTTTTATTATTATTATTATTTTTTTTTTTACAGCTCCACTAATTTTTGTAAGTGTTTTTGCTTCTTGGGTTTTCCTATTAAAGACTTAATCTCTTAAATCTTACTATTTCTATAATACAATATGTTACACAAGTTTCCCTAATACAAACCTTTTTTTCAGGATGAGTTCTCAGCTGCTGCAGCACGGTTCTTCTCTCCACCTCCAAGGTGGAAGCGACCCATTATGTTCTTCCAGTTCCTCTGGCCTCAGATTGCTAAGGCATTGAGACTAAATGTTATTGACAGAACACCAATCCATTTCTTTACTAAGGTAAATTTTTTGAAGGCTCTGATGTATATTACTTGCTTCATGTGTTTGATAAGCTGTTGTTTGTTTTGTGCTATACATTTTTTAATGTATTATTAATATATTATGTATAGTTGAGTGGGTAATGTGTATCTGTGAATAGCCGTTAAGGACAGCGTCATGAAACAAGTGATTTCAGTATGTCTAAGTACTGATTTGGTATATTTCCCTAATAAAGAGATTTATTTTTGGCTTCCTGTTTCTTGTAATTGGTGGCAACATTTTAAGTCTTCTGGACCAGTCGGTGAACTACATAGTAAGTTATAGGGGAGGACACAAAAATGTACATACACGTACTTTACATGTGTTTATATGATTGCATAATGCGTACTTGAGTATGTGTGCGTGCATGCGTGTGTGTGTGTGTGCGTGCACACTTGTGTGTGTGTGGGGGGAGGTTATATATGTTCCTGTGTGTGCATGTGTGTGCCTGCCCACATGGTCATGCATTATTGCATATATTCATGTGTGTTGATGTGTAATAAAAAAGAAAAAGAAAAACAGGCTTAACCCAATAAGAACATAACATTTTTGGTATGGTTGGGCAACTGGTCTTCATTAGTGTGTTTGCAGTATGGTGTGCAAAACCTCATCCCAGCAGTGAAGATGTAGACTCATAATGTAATCAGGCATCCAGCATTATCTTTCTTTATTCATCATGATGTGAATGGGTTGATAAAGAGAGATAACACTGTACCTATTTAGTGTTACCATCAGGAGAGAATTGTGACAGAGTAACATTTAATTTGGTTTTTGTTTTGATTAGTTAAATATTCTTAATTATACATTCTTCATTTCAGGTCGTGTCAGATACAATTCGTTACCGCTTGGAGAACAATCTGCGGAGGAGTGACTTCCTTCAACTCCTTCTGGATGCTCGTCTTCAAGAACAGACCAATAACAATAAAGGAAATGGTAGCACAGACATAAATTCCAAGAAGGCTGGTAATGAAGGTACTGTAATAATTTTTTTTTTCTTTTTTTTTTTTTTTTTCTTTTTTTTTATAAGGAAAAATTATAAGAGGAGGAGAAGAAAAATAAAAATTAAAGAGAATGTATGTGTTTTGCAAGTGTATAGACAACAGCCTACAAGATTTTGTTTATTAACCCACTGCTACTGGGAAATTGTGTTCATTGTAGTATTGTTTTGTGAAATGTCTCTACATATAGATGGCTCTATAAGTACTTAGCCACAAAGGGGTCAATTAGAAGGCCTTGTGACTTCACCTAATTCCACCTTTCCTTTAATTTGTTGGAAAAACATTTTTTTTTACTAATGCTATCGATATCATTCTGTTATTTTTACTATAGACTTTTAACCCCTTGGTGCCGGGTGATGCCGATCGGTGTGTAAACAAAGAGCTTGAAAGCTGGCGTGCAGCTAAACGAGCCGGCGGCGCGCCAAAGCGCGGCGAGCCAGTGATTCGGGCTGATGTCCCCTACTCACGCACTCAAAGTCGGCCTTTGTTTGTTTAAGCGTAGAGTTTTTTTTTTTCTTTTGTACACCCGGCGCCATTGGGTTAACGATTATAGTGTTTTTGACATTAATAAGAAGAATATATGAAAATCAAGGAAAAGGGTGAACAAGTGAGATATGTAGCACTCATAATTTGCGCATTAGTGACCATTGCTGACGGGCATGCCATGCCATGCCCACTGTGAGATTACTTGTTTGATTGTTTTTACAAATAGATGGCTACTCTTTTACTAAATCATCAATGAGCCAGTTACGAGTACTGCCCGTCTCGCCTGTTTACCCTTTTCTTTGATTTACAAAATATTTTATGTTATCATATTTTGCTGTTACTAATGTTAAAAAAACATTATAAAAATTATAATGTTTATAATAAAAGTATGGCAAAATATGGCACTAGTGAAAAATACGTTTTTCCCGCCATTTCAAATCAGGCACTAACAGAGCCATCTATGGGCAGACATTTAACAAAAAAATATAGAAAATAGGCACAGCATTTTCCCCATTTCTTGTTTATTTTCCCGGCGGCAATGGGTTAACCCATTGGATCTGGTTGTATTATTTACTCTTTTTATGCATAAGTGTTTTTAACTTTTTGGCCATTTTCCAATGTCCATATTTGCCATTTGATTGGTATTATTCAGATAGTAATAGTTTTTTTTCTTTGCACACATTCCAGTCATGTCTCTAGGTAGTGTACAACTCAGTGCAAGTAAAATAAAACTATGTAACACAATGTTATTTTTGTCATTTTAAATTATTTGGCCCAATATTAAATTTTCTGTAAAACAATCTGCATCACTGCTCACATTGCCAGGAATACAATGCTGAGCATAGAAATGGTGTCCTGCATTGAGTCAGTGCTCTTTCAGTCACCGTTCACGGACATTAAATTCCACACTCTTACATCGATGGGAATAATGCAAAATCACTAAATGAGTGAAATAAACCTGACAGGAGGTTTGTGCAGTTGTGGTGAATCTTTTCCATCATTCTGGCCTTCAGCCACAATACAATGCTCGTGATGCCAGGTTTCCTTCACCCATCCTACAGCCAGATTTTCTCATTACGGCATGTTCACATCACCCACCCCTCAACCCAAATTTTTTTGACATGATGGTCACATCACTGGGATCCTAAGGGTTAATACTTTTGGAGCCATCTATGTGTAAATATATATTAAACTTACAGTGGGCATAGCCATCCCTGCCATCCCTGGTGGCTTCAGGTTAAAAACATTACATGGCATTTACTTTCCTTTGATCACTGTTATAGGGTCTCTGAATATGTATGAAACAGGCGCCAGGAATGTGATACTGAGCATAGAAATGGTGTCCTCCATGGACCCAGTGCATTTCCAATCACAGCTCATGGATATTACATTCCATACTCATACATCAACTGGAATAAATAAAAATTGCTAAATGAGCAAAATAAACCTCCCAATAGGTTTGTGCACTAATGGTGAGTCTTTTTCATTACTCCGGCCTTCAGCTGAAACACTCACAACAGCAGGTTTGTGTCACCCATCCTACAGCCAGATTTTCTCATGACAGCATGTTCATGTCACCCACCCCTCAAGCCATATTTTTTCATGGTGTGATGGTCACGTCACCTGGATCCAAAGGGTTAATTTTTTTTTTCTGAATTCAGTAGACTTTAGTAGGGCGTGTCTCAATGATATTTTTAAATCCTGAGTTTATGAATACTTCATACTTTTATTTCCCTAAATTAGTATAAATAAATTAACTGAGGGCTTTTCTCTCCTTTCTTTTTTATTGCAGTTCTCAATGAGCTGGTGATTACTGCACAGTGTGTTTTGTTCTACATTGCTGGGTATGACACTACAGCAACCACCCTAAGTTTTCTGTCATATTGTCTGGCTCTTCATCCCAGCATTCAGCAGAAATGTATGGAGGAAATAGAAGAGGTACTTAGGAGGCACAAGGGTGAAATTACATATGAGGCTCTTCAGGAAATGACCTATTTGGATATGGTCTTTGCAGGTAGTGTATCATTTTTATTGCAGTTCCCTTTTACAAGTATTAGATTAGTCACTGAAAAGTTATTGATGAATAAAAATGCCTCAAGGTAGTCAATCTTCATCTCTTCTTCCTTCATTGCAGAGACACTTCGTCTATACCCACCAGCACCCAGAGTTGATCGCACAGTGACAAAGGACTTCACTCTCCCTGATACAGACCTGAAACTGCAGAAGGGTCAGAAAATTACCATTCCCATATACAGGTAGGTAACTATATATGTGATGTCTCATATTATTTAAGGTTATTTTCTGTAATGGTACAGGTAAGACAGAAAGTAACAGTGATTAATATATCTTATAGAAAATGAATGTTAAGGGCTTATTTTTAGTTATTCAGATATTAGGACATTCATTCCAGTACTCAGGATTTGTAAAGTAAATAGGGACTTTCAGAAGACAGAATTGAAATTCCCTAAGACAGATACAGAACTATTGCTTCATCATATCACAGAATAATATATGGAGTCGCAAATGTAATTGTTGAAATGTATAAAGAGCAACTTGCAAATGTGTATTTTGGGCTTCTTAATAACAAAGGTGTCATAGTGTCTTTTTTTCAATTATTTCTTCTCCTGTGTTATCACTGTCTATTGCATTTACTCACATCAAAGCAAGCCACACACCAGAAAATATGTGCATTCAGCTGTTTTAATGAAAAATCAGAAACACAGTAAATATGTCTTTCTTACTGTCTACAATTTTGGCTGTGACATATAATATATGTCACAATCATATTATGATTGTTCTATAAAAGAGACTAAAAAGAGACATTGAGCCTATTTTGGAGGGCTTTATATCCTCAGGGATCCCAGACAGGGCTAATCAAGTAGATGACTGATTAGCATACATAGCATTAATTTGATAACATCTATTTATTCTTTTCAGCATCCATCGTGACCCAGATCACTATCCAGATCCTTTGAAGTTTGATCCAGAACGGTTTTCCTCAGAAAACAAGGCTATGCGTTCACAGATGGTATATCTGCCTTTTGGTAGTGGTCCTCGCAACTGTATAGGTAATTACAGCTCTTAATAAGAAAATTGGTTTATTTATGTGTTGTTAAAGTATTCTGAATTGTTAAATTTGACTCGAACATCAATATTATATTCAAGAGGCATTTATGATTTTGATACATTTTTTGCTTACTTGTAGGAATATTTAAAATGTGCACCATTTTCCTTCTCAGAAGTAGTCAGTTTATATTTAAGATTATGCTATTAACCCCTTAGTGATGGGTATCAGAAATCTCTTGGTGTTATTAACTCTGGTGATTTCTGGTAACGTCCACCTGCTGGGCGTGGGAGTCCTGCGTTGCCATGTGTATAGCCATACCCAGCAGACCATGCAGTTTGTTCTGACGGCTATACACGTGATCTACCACGTGATGGATGGTTACACATTACCTGGCATACATAAATATAATTTGCTTATGTGCATGTTTCTGTTTATTTGTTTGTAGGTACATGCAGGGCATTTTTGTATGGCAGATAACTACACATGATATATAGTGGCTACCTACCTGTTTCACTGTGTGCTTATATTTTTCAGGTATGAGATTTGCTCTCATGGAGGCAAAGGTGGCTGCTGTTTATCTCTTGCAAGAGTTTGCATTTATTCCAAGTAAGAAGACACAAGTCCCCATAGTTATTGAACAACGAAGTGGCCTCCTGAAAGCACAGGATGGCATTTGGGTTAGACTAGCCAAGAGGACATCCGAATAGAAGTTTCAGATAATATCAGTGCACTGGTTAGAGGTTTAAAGTTCTTTAATTTGTGTTGTCATAAAAGGGTTCAGTGTTTTATATTGAAAAGTTTTTTATGTAGACAGATACTGTATGACCTAAAACTACTGTAAAATATAACAGAATTTAATAGTAAGAGCATGGAAATACATTCCTTTCTTATCCATACTCAGATGAAGATGCAAGTTAACCTAGTTCTAATTGCCATTATGTAGGTGAATTACAGTATAGTTAGTCTTGTAAACCATTTATCCTCAACACTGGGCTGGATGCTCCTTCTGAAGTGTTTTAAACTGTAGTCTCACCTGCTTGATGTCTTGTGCTGTATAAGACATTAAAAAAGCCCACATTATGGGTAATTCAATAAAGTATATCAATATTTACTGAAATGGTGTCTTGGAGCCTGTACTTGATGCATAGCTCTTTGAATAGTCATATATTAGTGGATAGCTAGGGAAACAAATCCTGGTAGCCTTTGCCTTAGCAGCACATTCTACATCATTGACCAAGATAATTAAGTTATTGTTTCATATATAAAATGAAAACAATAGCATTTCTTAGGAAGTTTGTTATCCTCAGTCATTTATCACTTTTCTAGTTTTCTTATGTTTTTCTAATATTTCACAGAATTAATATTTTCTTTTTACTAGATGTATACTAATGAAGTTTAATTATACAATGCTGGGTATCACACAGGGCTCATATTTTAAAGAACTAAATTTTGCTTTGTCATGGGATGAGACATTTTCTAGGCCTACAGCTTTTTGATGTTTGCCGCTTCAAGGAAATGGAAACCATGTAGGTTGAATTAATGTGTTATACTTTATGTTCATATGGGTGAGCATGTATCTGTCTATCTATCTAGCTATCTATCTACACACACACACACACACACACACACACACACACACACACACACACACACACACACACACACACACACACACACACACACACACACACACACACACACACACACATACACACACATACACCCACATACACACACATACACACATACACATACATGCAGAGGTAATCCTCAATTTACAGTTAAGTTCTTTTCCAGAAACTGTGCTGTAAAATGGAATAACATAAAACAAGACATTTATGCCCATAAGAACTAACTAAAATAGGTTACTTTTGCCATCCTTCCACCTAGACTTCATGACTTGAAATATACAAAAAAAATTGAATATGGTTAGATAAAAACCCTTAGATAAATGATAAAAGTTGTGTAAATCATTTTACACAATGATACAAAACAATGATACAGAGCTCCCTACAGAGCTTGATGAATGACAGTGTAGGGGAGCATTGGATGGACCTCTTCCGTTGCCTATTTGTGAAACAAAGTTATCCAATGTTGCTTGTTTACTGCTCTATACTCTTCTTCTCCATGTATAGTTTATGACAGGGAAAACATTCTAGGACATTTTGCATAACTCTCTAATTTCCTTCCTTGTGCAAGTCAATATCAACTGATGCATCTACAAGCTTGTTTTGCATTGGTATAAAGCTCAATGGAACAGCTCTATAATAATAACTTATGTGGAGGAACAGTGTTACAAGAATAACTTAAGTGGAGGAACAGTGCTACAAGAATAACTTATGCAGAGTGCACTTGTTGGGGAACCAAGGATAACTGTCTTCTTTATCTTGTTTGCCTGAACGTTTTGCACCAGGACCTTTTTTTAGGCTGTTGAGGCACCATTCTTCATGTGCTGTATTTTATTTATTTATTTATTATTATTTTTTTATTATTATTTTTTTTACATCTCTATATTCTAGCTTTTATATGTCATATTATGTCATTCATTATTTAACTGGGGTCATAGATTTTTTCCGTGAAGCTCAGATGTAATGAAGAAACAAGGAGAACCAAAATTTTATGAGCACAGAACCAACATACTATATTAGCCAAAGACTGTAGGTAAACTAAGAGTAATTTTTGTTTCGTCTCATTATGAAAAATGTCACATATCACAAGTGAAAAACCACACAATTTTAGTTCTTTTCAGTGTAAGTCTTGGTAGCTTTACTAACATAGGGCATTGACAAATTTGCAAGTGTGATACCCATTTAAATATTATTTTTTTCCATCAGCATAATTTTAAAATATTTGTTATATCTTTATATGACTTTAGTGTGCAAGAATATTAGTACCATTGCTTCCTTTGAAGTATAATCAAGAAGTTGAGAAGTGAATTACAAGACAGAACATTTTAAATGTGTTAAATGTTGAAGTACAGTGAACATTGATATATGGCTTTATAACAACAGGCATTAAAAACTCAGAACAGTTTCAGTTTCTAAGTTAAAAAAACACATAAATAAATGAATAAAAATTGTAGTGTCTGTTGGTGTGATGAACACTAAGTTGCCTGAATTAAATATGATGTTTGAATAGCATATTGTATAGTATAATGTATTGCCATATTAGTAGCAAATCAAATGTTGTGAGGATGCATAAAGCTAGTTATAAGATCTGACAGGGTTAATAAGATATCTGAATAGCTGGAAGATTACAAGGGCAAGAGAGAAATTTGTATACTGCTATGGACTCTTAGTGAGATGACTGCACATAAATCTGAACCTCTCTGAAGAGAGTGGTAACATTCTTGATAAGAGCATTGTGTATGCTTTTCATACCTCAAAAACAGAAATGACAATAGTAAGTAACAAAAACAGATGAAGTGTAGTTGATGGCCAGACTAGTTGACACATTGAAAGCTGTTACAAAGTTAGTAGCCCTTAATTGTAAATATGCCAAATACAGAATAATGCCTTGTTTCTTGGTCTCGCATACAGATTAAAAAAAAAAAAGATGTAAAAAGCCATTCAAAATCCAAGACCAAGATAATGTTGAAGATAGTTAGCTATTTCTTATTCTGTGCTGTCTCCTAACTTCCCCCAAAAAATTATGATAAATCTTCAGAATCAGTCAGAGCCAACTGCTACATTTTCACATTTAAGAGATATGAACTGTCTGTTTATTTTTATTCATTTATTTTGATTTGCAAAATTCTCAGTGAAGAAGTTGGAACTCTTGGCAGTACAACAGTGGTTACTGGTTACTTACAAAATCAGTATAATGTGTTGTATAAGAATCCATGTCCTTGTTATTATGTTTAAATTACAATTTAAATCTAGGCTTGAATTTGGTCTTCTACTTGCTGTGGTGCATCCATTTATCTGTGATGATTTTAATCAGTCGTCTTTTCATCACTGTTTCATGCCATACATTTACAGCACATGTGTACATACATCAGTCTATTTAGTTATCTGAATTATGCAAGATGATGGTGAAATACAAATGAATTTTGAAATAAAGATTGCTTTCTGAAAACAAATGGCAGAATTGCAATTTCTGTGGGCCACATGTGCTATTTCTGCCCCTGCCTTAACTCATACTGAATTTCTTATAACTCTTATCAGATATATTGACTAACTGAAGATACTCTATGGATCTATATCAGATCATATCCATCATACATTTAGAATCATCTTGAAAAGAAGTGTGACTAGTCGCACAGGAGTCCCGTCCTTTGACTCAAATCTTGGAACTCCTCACAAGTGAAACATGACCACAACTGGCTTCAAACAAATATTGGCTCATTTTTATATGGTGTTTGTGTGTACTCAGTTCACAGAATGTAAGTTTCCAAGTTTATGCAGCATTTTCTATTGTTAAAAGTGATAGAAAACTGAATATCTATAGTAGTTAGACTGATTGTAATGAGCTATGTTTTACAAAGAATGTGATGTAGAAAGCTGTCTGTGACATGACTACCTTGCTTCTTTAATGGCTGTCAGTATATCTTCAGCATTCTCCAAATTTAAATCTAATAGTTTTAAAAAATGTTTCAGGTAGACAGCAGTCTGAAGATATGCATTGTATGTTCAGATCATAATAGCTAAGTTGCTACATGTGTATGCTTATGCATACCTTTTCATGCTCGCACAACCACATTCATACATGTATGTGCACACTTAAACATGCATATTCCAATCCACATACTAATGAATATTATTTATAAATATCTTTATCCCATTATTCATCAATCCAGAATTTAGTCTTTTGGAACATATCTCTGCAGTCTACTGTGTGTTTTATCTATTTCTCAATATGTATATATATAAATTTTAGATGTATTCATGTATGTACATCCCTCCATACATCCATATGATTTATAGGTAAACACACACATAGTATCTTAAGGCAAATAAAAAAGATTTTTTTTGTTCATTAAATCTTTATCCTCTAGTGATTAGCTTCAGTCACTTGGATGAACTGAATATGTAAAGACCAATATCCCCTCTCCCACCACATCTCTATCTTGTGTAACGAACTATGCAAAGGGACAAAGTCTCTACTGGTTGTTAAACTATGCAATAATATTGTCTGCAAGTGTCCATTGTTATCATGTGTGGTGCATCCAAGAAGTGTGTCTTAACCTGACATCATATAATTGAGACATGGATTAATATGTACTTTACATGTGATAATTTTCCATCACATGGGGCATATTATCTGTAATATAGGTGATGTGTGTATATACCCATGTATTTTATCAGAGAAGGCTTCTCTGATGCACCCTTCCAATGGTGATTTCGGTAGCTAGCCAGGGACATTCAGACTGCATAGCATTATCTGAAAAAGTTTCCAGCTGGCTATTCACATTCCAAACTCGTCGAACAAGGGATTAGCATGACTTGTCCCAACAACAAAGCTGTTTTCTGATTGTTGATTATGTTATAAATAAGAATATGTATATTCCAGATTGTACACAATTATGTGCTGGTACCTGTGATCATGTGATATTCAGTATTTTGACTGCAGACTTTCATGGAAAGATTAATAAACTTTCAAATCCATGAGACTAAGACTGTTGATGTGTTTGATATGGATATTGCATTTGTTGTTGCAGGATATAGAAATTATTCAACCAGATTTACATACTTTTAGGAATTGTAGTTACTTGTTTATTAGTAGGCATTCAAGGACTGCCTAGATAGAAAATTGATGTGCTTGATAATATTCATGGTAGGATGATATGATAGAGCAGGAATTTATTTAGATGCATTTCTTTCCATATATATATAGATAGATAATGCTATCACAGTGGTTACATGATTAAGATGCTTCTATGTTTGACTGGAATGCATTGAGAAATTACATCTGTTTATTGGAAAGAATCAACACAAACTGTATTTCTATGGGAAAAAATAATAATCTGTATTAATGAGAGATATTTGCATGTCATGATAATTTTATTATTAGAAGACTAACACACACACACACACACACACACACACACACACACACACACACACACACACACACACACACACACACACACACACACACACACACACACACACACACACACACACACACACACACACACACAAAAAAACACGTGCGGACATGCACAGGCACACATGCACACACACACAGATATGCATACACGAAACAAAAATATGATTACTCTCAATATAGCAGCTGGGTCTCCCATAGCTCAGCTTTTTAAAATGTTTTAATATATTGTTATTGTAAAATATCTTGTTATGCTATCACTCGAAAGTTTGTGGCATGAGGCTGTCAAGATTTAGCTCATGAATAAACAAATAAAAAGAAATCAGCATTACTTTTATTAACCTGAAAATTAGTGTGTTCATCTTTCCCTGCAACTTTACCCCCTTGGATCTGGATGCTTCACTGCCTGCATGGAAATAGCATCCTCTCCGGAGCAGGCACTCTGCCAGGCATTGCCCATAGATGGTATATTCAATACATTCAACATTCAACATTCATTTATCGATGGAAATCATGCAAAAGCCCCTTCATAAAAGTCTAATCACCCTCCAAGAGCTTTGTGCACTAGTGATGAGTCATTCTTGTTACCCCGGCTGATAGTCAACAGCCCTCAGCCATATTTTTCCATGACATCACGTTCACATCAATTTTTCCATGATGTGATTGTTGTAGGGGTTAATACAACTGCCCCAAGATGTTTCAAATGTACTATTTTACTCCTGTACTATACAAAAGTCTTCAATTTATTCCTAATCCAACAGTAAGATGTGAAATTATTTCAACTACCTGAAATGTTGATGCAACTTTTAAATACTTTATAAGTGCACTATCGGAGCTAGGAGCTACAATAAGTACATACTAGGAAATTAAATATTTTTCTTTTAAGAGAAATTGCTCATTAAAAATTACTTTATATCATTCTTGCTGCATGGTAAAATAAACTCAAGTCAAAAACAGAATTTACAATAACATATGTAAAAAAATGGTACCTCAGTGTAAAAGATAAGCCTGTGAGTGCAATGTATTTGAAATGTAATAACAAAAATTCAGTTGCTCTTTAGTATTATTAGCATTATAAGATATTCTTAAATGAAGCAAAGCTACTTCAAAAGATAGTTATATTATAAGAACTATAAAATGTTAATGACTACATGCAGTAATTGCAATACATAATCAGTTAATCAATGAGGACTAAAGTCAGAGGATGTATCCACTCTTCACTCCTAACAACACAGGTTATGCTTGGCAAGACACTAGGCAGGGGTCTCCTTGCCCTTATCAACTTCCTTATAACAGGTTGACTAATTTGCCCACAGATTTTCCACAGAAGCATCCTGAAGGAATTGATACCAGGTCTCTTTATAACCTAAGTTAGCTAATCCAGTCACAAGTCACAAGTCATAAAACTTGGGGTGCAGCTGTAAGCTGGGTACATGCTACTGCCAACTAAAGGAACTGTTGCAAAAGGCATTATAATGTGACTACAAGCCACAGGACAGAGTCCAGGTTTTCTTGTATATATATCAAAATTGGCAATATCAGGACCATGAAAAATTGTAGCTTGGTCCTACTACACAGCATCTCCTAATATTCCTACAGAAAGAGTCCAACTACTGACTTCCTTGTCTGATGGTCCTGAGTCATAAACTATACTACTAGCAGATGTAAACCAGAGTGACTGATGTCCTTGCCACAAACACAAATCAAGACTAGGTTCTTCTAGCAGAACCATAAGTTCTAGATTTTAATCCTGACCCAGGATTGAGCCTTAAGGGTGAGAACATAATCAGGAGGCACTTGTATGATGCAAAGGGGTACAAGAGGATGTGGGAAGGATGCTTTTAGAGGACAAAACTGGAAGAAACCTGACAAACAATAACAGAATTATTTCCTCATACGTGAAAAAAAAACATTTTTTCACTATTGGATTTTTTCCATTGGGTAAGAAACAGCAAACAGTAGAAACTAGTTAAAAAAAGAGCCACCACAATTACAGAATACAATTGTATTTTTGCCACATTACACAATTAGTCTGCCTATATATAGTCCTTCATCTCTTGGATTCTATTATCCCTTTTGCTATCTAATATTATTCCATTATAATTAAATGCACTTCTCTCATTATCTCTATATGGATAAATCAATCATTTATTCAAGAAGTCTTTCTATA